TTTTAAATCTAATACCTTTTAAACATTCTTCTTTATTAATTTTACGAAATTTTTTTTTTCATGAAGACAAAACTTCCTCTATAAGGATAAAAGCACAAATGGTCCGGTGGTTTGAATATTTTTTTCTTTGCTAATAAATCAGTGAAAGATATCTATTACCATTTCGCATGATTGACCATAAGTTAAAAGAATTGTAAAATCAAGAAACAAATCATTCTGTCAACTACTGTTACTATACGAGAAATACTAAAAGCTGACATTGGGCGAAGAGCTTTGATAGGTGAATCAAAAATATCAGAAATACACAAACGATAGCGCAAGCTTGACGAAAACGATCCTTCTGTTAGTGTCGGGGTGATACTGATGTCAGTTGTATGGATTGGCGCATGTTCAAGCTTGGCTATAAGACGTTGCCAACTACTGCCGCCACTATCATCACCATTACTACTATCATCATCATTATTATTACCACCGCCACTACTACTGGTATAAGCTTCTCAACGACTCAACTCTCCTTTCCATTTCGCATAAACGTAATCAGGCGTCATTTGCCACATCATTTCGACAAGTTCTCTTAAGTTTTTGTTCTTCTAACTCTGGTCGTTATATGAGTATATTAGTGTAAATGAATTACCTTTCTTTTTTACATATACGTAAAAGGAACGGAACCTGAAAACATAATAATATATATAACATTTCCGTTTACATTTCCATGTAGTTTTATTGTATCCTCATTTTTTGTTCGCTAAATACCTGACTAGCAAAATAAAAAATGAACCATAATACTAACAATATTATACTTTTGAAAAATTATCAAATTCTTCATTTCCTTATTAGTGATTTGGCATTTAAAATAAAAACTTAGAGAATGGAACCGTTAGGGAAGGTAGCGTTCATGCACATAAGAATTATACACATAATCATTGTACACAAACAAATCCGTATTTTATTTCTTACACAAGGATAAATTGATTGTGCACCATAATTTCAATGAATAATCTATCTCGATAATATTATGCACACAATCGTTAAGGCAAATAATTAAGAGATAAAGTCGTGCACTGATTTACTTTTTTAATAAATAAATTTTAATTATTTAATTTATTTCATAACATAAAATAAAAAGATAATGGACATTGTACACTCCTTAAAAAATAAATAATCAAAGGATACTGATGATTTTGCATAAAGAAATTATGTTATTATGGTATTAGAACCTGTTCTACAAAAAATCGGTAGATATTGTTGGTGCACTATCAATCAACGTAAGTGCATAATTTCTTATACAACTCAGAGAACAATAACTCGGCCGTTTTGGAATTTTTGCAAACGGGAAACATGATTTTGCTCGAACAATTCCTAAATGGTATTTAACATATAGAACCAAAAAAATTGAGCCCTCCACGCCAAATATTTATAACGCACTTTTTTCGTTCATAGTAGGTCTAAAAATAATCAACTAATTGTAAATAAACGTAAAAATAACCAAAATAATGTGATATTGCTCGGTTTTTGTAATTCTATAAAGAAATAATAAAAGAAACAACATATTACATCGAGAATATTTGCGGTTTGACAGTCGGAAAACTAGTGCTGTATTAAGTACCATTTTATGAAATCTTGCAAAAAGAAGTTTGATTGGTTCATTTACTGTATTCGTTGCACGTTACGATCTCAATATACGTTACGGTCTTAAAATTAGAAACAACATAGATTATTTAAATCTATTAAAATTGATTCAAAAAAATTTTGTGCTTCGTAGATACGTTAGTGGTATCTTTAGAGATTGACGTCATACCTATAAATTTTGACAGAGTTGATGATGAAGATAAAATAAAATTGATACTAGACTTTAGGGTTAATATTCATGGATAATTTTATGAAATTTAACATGGTATATAATACTGGAGGAAGATACTATAATATGATCGACGGATGTGGCGATGAATTTTTCATCTAAAAACGGAGGTTGATCTGCAGATGCAGTAGTACTCGTATAGTGATGAAATATTGAAGTAGTATGTATAAGGTAAGAAGAGTCCAGATAGCTGAAAATTAATTAGAAAGCTCCGACAGACAGCTTTTTAATTATGTCCAAACAAGACTTACAGAAGCCCACTGAAATTAAAAATTGGCATAAAAAAGTAAGGATGACTCGCTATATTAGTGTTTTATATTAACTCAACAAGAATACTCAAGCAATTGATCCAATTCATGATTTCTGAAGCTTATATGGGTAATTCTAGGCTATTTCGATTGACTTGTAACCTTTAGGTTACGGATTTTTTTTTAATTTGGCACAATTGTTGTACACATAAAACTGAGATTTTTCCCAAATTTTGGAGACGATACAATAATTATATCAAAAGTTATTAACAATTAAAGAAAAATGATAAAAAATTTTCAAACAGCTATATTTTAAAAACTAATAAAGATATCGAAGTCGGATTTTTTTCAAAATACTTATAATGCCTTAAAATTTCGAAATAATTACAACAATAAACAATAAAAATTTTTTTTCGAAAGTTATTAACTTTTTGTTTAAACAATTGCTAATATCTCAAAAAGTATATTTTTTTTTTTTAAAATTCTTGCTCCTACGTATTCCTGAGGATTTTTGCTATCGAAATCAATCATAAAATTCAAGGGCCCGACATATCGGAAAGCGTAGCCCTAATCAAAAGAAGACGCCTCGGCGTAAGGCTGCGGTAGCGCTCCAGCGGACTCACGGTCGAAAGGTACTCTAGCTTTAATCTAAAAAACTAATAAAGATACGGAATCGGAGTTTTCCCAAATTACTTATAATACCTTGAACTTTCGAAATAATTACAACAATAAACAATAAAAATTTTTTTTCGAAAGTTATTAACTTTTTGTTTAAACAATTGCTAATATCTCTAAAAGTATATTTTTTTTTTGAAAAATTCTTGCTCCTACGTATTCCTGAGGATTTTTGCTATCGAAATCAATCATAAAATTCAAGGGCCCGACATATCGGAAAGCGTAGCCCTAATCAAAAGAAGACGCCTCGGCGTAAGGCTGCGGTAGCGCTCCAGCGGACTCACGGTCGAAAGGTACTTTAGCTTTAATCTAAAAAACTAATAAAGATACCGAATCGGATTTTTCCCAAATTACTTATAATACCTTGAACTTTCGAAATAATTACAACAATAAACAATAAAAATTTTTTTTCGAAAGTTATTAACTTTTTGTTTAAACAATTGCTAATATCTCAAAAAGTATATTTTTTTTTTGAAAAATTCTTGCTCCTACGTATTCCTGAGGACTTTTGCTATCGAAATAAATCATAAAATTCAAGGGCCCGACATATCGAAAAGCGTAGCCTTAATCAAAAGAAGACACCTCGGCGTAAGACCACGAAAACGGCCTGCTGCCGATGCGACGTACACCGAGGCATCTTCTTTTGTTTAGGGCTACGCCTTCCGATATGTCGGGCCCTTGAATTTTATGATTGATTTCGATAGCAAAAATCCTCAGGAATACGTAGGAGCAAGAATTTTTCAAAAAAAAAATATGCTTTTTGAGATATTAGCAATTGTTTAAACAAAAAGTTAATAACTTTCGAAAAAAAATTTTTATTGTTTATTGTTGTAATTATTTCGAAAGTTCAAGGTATTATAAGTAATTTGGGAAAACTCCGATTCCGTATCTTTATTAGTTTTTTAGATTAAAGCTAGAGTACCTTTCGACCGTGAGTCCGCTGGAGCGCTACCGCAGCCTTACGCCGAGGCGTCTTCTTTTGATTAGGGCTACGCTTTCCGATATGTCGGGCCCTTGAATTTTATGATTGATTTCGATAGCAAAAATCCTCAGGAATACGTAGGAGCAAGAATTTTAAAAAAAAAAAATATACTTTTTGAGATATTAGCAATTGTTTAAACAAAAAGTTAATAACTTTCGAAAAAAAATTTTTATTGTTTATTGTTGTAATTATTTCGAAATTTTAAGGCATTATAAGTATTTTGAAAAAAATCCGACTTCGATATCTTTATTAGTTTTTAAAATATAGCTGTTTGAAAATTTTTTATCATTTTTCTTTAATTGTTAATAACTTTTGATATAATTAATGTATCGTCTCCAAAATTTGGGAAAAATCTCAGTTTTATGTGTACAACAATTGTGCCAAATTAAAAAAAAATCCGTAACCTAAGGGTTACAAGTCAATCGAAATAGCCTAGAATTACCCATATACCCTTCGGAGAGCTCATGTGGTTAGAGATCAAGTCGAACAATAAGGCGTTGGTTTATTTGTTGCAATCTATTAATAATTATTTTGCATCATATTTTTATTATTTCTTTTATTATTTTCTAAAAATAAATTTAATAAAGATTACGATAATTTTTTTCTTGCACAAATATTATATTATTTCAACTTTTAATAGTTCTTTGATTTCAAATTTTTCTAGCTACTTAAGTCATATTTAGTGGGTCAAAATACATTGAAAATACCTATATAAAAAATATTTTTAACATTATATAATAATTTTTGTCAATTATGATTAAAATGCGAACCTTTATATTAGACTTTCCTTCTTCAATAACTTTATAATAAAATATGGAGTTTCCATTTCTTCGCTTTTAATTTTTAATTCGATTCTACACTGTAATAACGAAAAGATGTTCTATTCGATGATCTTTTTAAGAATTGAAATTTGAAAACCTGTCAAAATTTTTTTCACAAGTAATATTGCAAAAATGAATACGATATGTTGATAACTTTACGATGACAGTTACTAACATCTATATACAATCTCATGAAATTTCCTGTTAACAGGAATGGTCTAGACGTTATCGAAATGACGTGTCAAAGGGCGAGCGTATATTTTTTTGTGAAACAGAAAGGAGGGATGGGTCGCAAGCTGGCTCGTGTGGCAGTGGTAGTAGTAGCGGTTGCGGCAACTAGCGACGTCTATATAGAGAAGCGTGATGCCGCGCGAACCCATGCGGCCGACGGCAGTATCACCCCGACTTCCGTGACGGGAGGGTTGTTCTCGCGACGCTTGCGTTATCGCACGTGCATTTGTTGTATTTTCACGGTCAAAGCTCTTCGAACAATGTCAGTATTTACTATTTCTCGTTTAATACATTATAAACGTCAAGCTAGTTGACAAATCATTCTATTGTGGTTGTAAACGTCATTTTTGTTTTTGTGTTTCGTGTGATTTTGATTTGAAATCGACGAAATTTATTGCGATGATTTTTCGAAATACTTTACCTCCTTCATGACTTTAAAAGGTTTTGCTGCTGCTAGCAGCGTCAAGTGAATTTTCTACTCTAGTTTATTTCATCGTCAAGGCCATTACTCACAATGATCAACATAACAAAAAGCTTTGCCCGATCGTTCCCTTTCACTTTGCTACTACTGATCACCTACGTTGCTATCGGTAAGTCTTAATTATACTATTCGGAAAAATGTAGATATCATTTTTATAACTATCTAAACACCTGGGAATTGTATTATTGTTATTGAAAGTTTTATATTACATAAAGAAATGAAAGTCATATGTCTGCGTGGATTGTTATATTTACCATCAAAGGCGCTTTTGGTTCAATTAAGTATTACTTATAAATTACGGGCATTGGGAATAATATCGAAATCCTGCGATTTGACAACTTGTAGAGGATTGTTTCTACGTATTATGTTTTTTCTTGTAAGTTCCAATAATTTATTAAAAACTTTATGGACTATAAAGTCTCACCATAGTGAAAAATACTCTACATGAATATTTTTGTTCTAGTTTTCATAATAGGATTCCGGTGAAAAAGTGTCATGCATTTATTTTAATAACTGGGTTAAGAAGATGAAATTCGAAATTTTTTTTGTATACACTTTAAATTTTTGTGTAATCGTAATAACAAATGAACGATGATATGCATTTTTATTGCGATCATTAACAAAAGTAAAATTGTATACAATAATTACAGCAGATATAACGAGTTACTGACGAGATAGCTCTTATTTTGAGAAAATATCAGTTACCACCATTGTTATTTCCAGGTCGAAATATATTTTTTCAAGCCCTGTGTGGAAAGTACGTTTCTGTTGTACGCTCAAAATCGAATTTGTGCACGTATCAAAAAGTACCGTGCAATACCTGTTCAGGAAAGAGATTCTCGTCTCGTGTGACTTTTTAGCCTTGTTTCGATCGGGTCCAAACACCACACGAGACAAGAATCTATTTTCCCGCAGTTGTACTGCTACATGTTCATTTCAATTATTCTAATCTTGTGTTAAAGGCTAGCACTGAAAAAATCACGGTAATAGTATCATCAATGTTACGCATACAACTATAGGCGTCTTGCACTTTATCAATTCGTGCATATACTTTCCGATCAGCAATTTTCGTTTTCAATTGAGCTGGCTCATTGAAAATGTCTGCCCTCCGACGTGTAATCCTTTTGAAAACTATTGAGAGTCGGCAAATCCAGGGCGGTACATGAATAGATTTCCTCGAGTAGGTTCGAAAGTTAAATGATACTGTGACTGGATTTACCGTCTTGAATGGAAGCGCGCTGCGTCCTCTATATTTGCGCCCCTCCGCAAAGTATACACCAGTGTGTGTAAGAGTTGCGCGCGGAGCTCAGATAGGTGGGCTACAAGTATACGAACGTAGTTTCGATCGAGTCGGAAACGAGAACTAGCAAAAACCTTTCTTGTACGTGTCGTTTCGTGAAATCTTAGCTGATCTCGCCCCGCAACTTTCGTCCGCGACTTTATTTTAGAGTTGCACAATCCTGTATTAACTTTCTCACCTCATCTATTACTTGACTTACATGCATTTCTAAGACTTAATTTTTTTAATTTCATTTATTTGTTTATTAACCAACTTTGCTATAAAAATGTAGTAAAGTTTTACAGAGGATATGCACGTACCTATACGTAAGTAGGTATAACAGAAAATACAACTAAAATAAAACAAGTAAGTAAGACTAAGGAATAACAATATAAGATATCTAAATTTAAGCCAATTTTAATAGCTCTACTGTGTTTAATATATTCATTTCCAGTAATTACGTGTATTTTTCTTTATACAGTTTTTAACAATTCATTTTTTTCTTTTTATTAATTGTACTTTCCAAAGTGTCAATCCAATTGTTGCTAAATTTCTAATAAATTAGATAGTATTTTTCAACGTTTTATTTCACATATTTTTAACAACTTAAAAATATTAAAACGACGAAATTTTTCTTGCTCATTGGACTTAGTTAAATAATTCTGATAAGCTAGTCGCGTATATATAAAGTTTTAATGCTCGAAAAGTGAGGTGAAAGAACATGACGAAAAGAATCATTAAAAAAGCGAGGAAGAGAAGCCAGAGGGGACAATCACTAAATGTTGAATAATCTTAGTATTTCAGAGAGCGAAATCTAACTGCGGGACTACAATGGAATTGAAGAGGTAAAAAAGAAGAAACCTAAGGGATCTTGGCGTTGGAACTGGGCTCAATAATGCATTTAGTGAAGCGAGACTGGAGCGCTGATGATCGAAGTCGGCTACTGAATGAGTGAGTAAAAACCCTCGAGACGTACATGGGAAAGTCGAGCGAGGAATCGTGGCGCGCTCGTGCAGCGTGAGAGAATGAGGGAGGGAGAAATGCACTCGGCGAAAGCTTCGTTAGCTCCGTTACGCTAAGGGCTGTTGCTGGCTGTTTGCTTGCCGGGCCACTTGACAGAGCGAGCAACCGTTCGGCGCATTCGCGCGAGATTATGAAGTGACAGTATCTAATGCAATTCAGTCACCCTGAACACCAGCTCTAGCTCGCGCTAACTAGCAGGCAAATACGTGACAAAAATTTACGCTTTATATTCTTACACAACTGCAAGCGCGGTTGCAAGCTGTGTGTGTGTGTGTAATAAAATGGAGCCCCTTCGACGCGTTGCTGTCAGTTTTGCTAGGTGTGCTGTTGACAGTATTCCGGCGACAGTGATGCATTACCTCATTAAATTCATCATGCGCTAACGTACCTACTAGTTCTTGACGTACGACCTATCATATCAAGCAGCTATTTTTCTTTTCTTTTGGATGTAGGATCAGTCACAAATTACAACAAAGATGCTAACGTACTTTTCTCTCAAGAGTTTCACCGATGAGTCCAAATACATATTTTTCGAAGATTTAGTTAGCTTTAACATATTTCATTATCTGCATAAAAGTCGAGTATGCAATTGCTATGAATTTTATTATTAAATTAGAAATTCGAATTTGATTTATAAGATAAATCTTGAGTTAAGTCGAATAAAAACGACGCAGAAAGACCAAAGCAATTTTTTGATACTTTGTTATTTTTTGTTATTATTACTTCAAGAACTACGTTCGTTTTAAACATTGCAGAGGTATACTAGTTATCCATGTGCATTAGTTTTCGTTCTCGATATTGATGAGAGGTATGTAACCAGTCTCCTCTACGACTTTTGGAAAAGTGCAGGAGGAGCATTTCTACAAGCATCATCACTTGACCTATAGTTTGTGGTGGAATTCGAGCCATCAAAAGTTACAACAAGCATATGAAAATTTTATTTCTGAAAATGTCCATATGCTTGTGCTCTAACCGGCAACCTTTTACACAGAGGACTGAGTTTTTACCCACTGAACCACCATATGAACGAATACAATACAAACTAAACAAATTACAGATTATAGAAGCGATCAATGAATAATATTTTATTGAAAATACATAATCAAAACTACAGTTGTTATTTTTTTACTTTTGTTTTAAAAGTGTTTATTTAGTTATTAATAATACATCTATAAAAGATGGAGCATATTGGTTAGCTAAAAACTTTAAGAACATTATACATAATGGATAGCTTTTATAATTCTGCTCAGTATTTCGATTGAAATATCTTATTTCTCAGGCCTTTTGTTTTCATTACACCGTTGATTCTATTCAATTGAACAAGTTGAAGTGTGATCAACAACTCATGTTTATTTTTCAACATGTTTTCACTAAAATACACATAATAGAACTCAAGTTGATTATTTATGTATTATTCGGTATCGTGATATCCATTTTAGTTATAGACATACTAGTGAGCCTCGGCCTCTTGGTAGTATCACTCCTAATGAGGAAAATGTTATCATTATAGATTGATTGAATATCAATTTTTTAATAATACTAATTATAACGTTTTCTTAATTGTGATAAATTGTAATGGTATCACAGTAATTGGTATAGAAATCAGTCATGAAGACCATGAAAAAATCATGAAAACTTGATTATGATGGTTATTTTATAAAAGGATTAAAGTTAGAAATGGCGGGTGATTGAATATACATAAAAAATTTGACTTATAAAATAATAATTACAAGTGTTTCGAAAATAAAATAATGAAAAGTGCAGTACGACTCAAAATTATAAATAAAAATATCTAAATACTTAGAGTGCACGCTGTCGTTAGTAATTACCGTTTTATGGAGAAGACGCATTTTGACAAAAGGAGAGGATAATTAATGAACTCACTTAAATATTAAAAATGAGAATTATCATCTTTCATATTTATAAATAAAATGATGACAAGTAATAAATAAATTATTAAATATTATGAGATATTCTCACATACCTTTCAAAAATTATAAAACTGGTCTAAAAATTGTAATTTTGATTGTTACTATGAAGTGTCAATTTTTAATATTAAATTAAGTCGTTCGTTTATTTGTAGTAAAAAATTTACTTTAAAATCGTCAACTTGCATGTTAATTTTACTTCTTTTAAAAGTTGTATACATGTGCGTATTTTTCATAATAAATAATCATTTTTATTAAGTAGTATATTTCATCTTTCATTAGTAATAAAGAAAAATTCCATTTTTATTATTATTATTATTCATATTGCAATAATTACAAAAATCAAAGATGATGATTATCATAATATTATCCTAAAATGATTAAGCGGCGGAATCGTGTTTAAATAATCAATCATTGACTAAAAACACAAACAAATCAATTTATAAATCTTATGACTTAAATAACTTTCTTAAAAATACGTCAATCAAGCTGAAACTTGTTTCAGATGATAGATGATAAAATCAATTTTCCTTCCTGTTAATAGAAACATTACGAAGAAATGTGTAAAAATGAGAAAAAAAAGTAAATAAAGCCTGGATTCACCATCTTAATCTATGAAAGCGTTACGCGGCTGCCACTGCTTCATGGCTACTTCCATGTCACTCGGTATCAGGACTATCGTGATAAACCACATTATCGGGACGTGTATTTTGATTCAAATTAATTAATTACGGCGCATTAGGAAATTGATAAAAAAATGTAATGTATCAGAATAAAAAATTTGTACTTATTTCGAAAAAGCAATGTATTTGGAAATATTGCTTGTAGAAACATTAACAATATCATAGTACGAAACAGTGATTGACTGATCAGCTACTG